CTTATTTATGTATTAATGGTCTAATATAAATATAGATGTGGCTTGCCTAGATTAGCCCAGGCTATCTGTGGGTTCACGCTGTTACTATTGTGAAGCTTTTTTAACTTAATGTGTATATATTTCTGTAAAATTGTAAATATGCGAGTCATAATAAAGTTGTTGTTGTTGTTGTTAACTTTGTTGAAAACGCTCTTAATTTCGCATGCAGTTTTGTTTAGGTATGTTTAGCAATGTCGTGTAGTTTTTCCACTAAACTTTGCTTCGTTTTCGAGATATTGCATATGCAAAAAAACCACTCGGTTTTCCTAGCGGCGTCTTTATAAAGTGAAGCAAAAACTAGCGGCAAAAATACAGGACCACGTTTTTCCATTACATTGAAGACCACATGCAAAAATTCAAGCCCTTTCACAAAAATTGTTTTTTCACCCAAATCGTCACTTGGTATGGTTTTGCACTCACCCCTTCAATTAAAGCAAGTTGGAGCACCTTAACACTTCATCAGCATATCCCATCTCTCGTCAGGTGTCTTAATCAGAGCTGTTGGACACCTTGGCGTCTCGTGACTCTTTGTGCAAAAACCACACTTCATCTTTTGTAATCATGATCAGTAAAAATTGTAAAAATAGGCTTAGAATAAGTGATGTAATAAGTGTTGTAAGTGTAAGAAATGATTATTTAAAAAGAAATAATCATGATCAGAGGCACCAACTAGTGATTGGGCTGACGTCTTCTCTTCCTCAGCTGGATTCATGAATCTTTTACCTCTACCATTCCTCCTTCTGTGCTTTGGTAGTCCATCCTCCACATAGTTGGGGGCTTCTTTACTTAGGACATGACCCTCCAAAAATTGAAAGAAATTCTTGATGTTGATCTCCTTATCTTCCTCTTAAGTTTCATACTTGGTCAGCTCCAATTCCCATTTCTACTTAAGCTCACACAGCAACTTTGTTTCGAAGATAGGCAGCAACACCATGGACAGACTAGGGTCATCATCAAACTTAAGACCAAGTGACTCTAAACTTCTCATCCTGTTTTGCAATGTGTTGTACTGGTCTCTTAACAATTTTCCATAAGCCTTTTTAGGAATATTCAGAATTAAAAGGGACTTGACAAGCTCATTTGTTAATAAATGTTTCCGTCCAAAACGATTTTGCAAATCTTGAAAGGCTTTGGAGTAGTTGTCATTCATAATGGACTGGCCTTCGATGCAATCTAACGCCCTGCTTGGAAGGCATGACCTCAGGTGGGTAAACTTCTGAAGGCTGCTCAATTTCTTGTGTGAATCAACCAAAGCAACAAAACGTGTCATGATATGCTGGCCATTCCAACACATTTCCTGAAAACTTTGGCAGCTGTAATAATGGTAATTTCACATCAGTAATGTGTTCAGTTATCTCACTCGACGATGCACTGATGCCATTTTGTGCGATAAAATCTTCAGCCATTAAGGAAATCTGTAATATTTGTGAATGAAATTCATCCCACTCTTTCAGAAGTTTGTCCATCAATTTCTCTTCTTCCACATTCGCTAAAACTTCCTCTAATAAGTGCACACAGTCAGATTCGTAATCATTCAATTTCTTCAATTGACGCTCAATTCTTGAGGGTGCAGCTTCTGCATTCATTTATTTCTCCAATTCGTTGCTTACACCTTTCGCATTTTTCTCCAGAAAAATTAATCGTCCTTTGGCAGCAATAAATTTTGAACCACAGACAAGGGGAACCTGTTCTGTTCCCGAATCATTGGAAGGCTTGTTTAAAGACCACATCATTTTCTCTGTAGAATGTTTAATAGCTTCTGTCAATGACTCCCAAAAATTCGGTAAAGATTCCTTGACATATGCTCCCATTTTGTTAGTGGCAAACTCGATTTCATCAATTCTTTCATCAGATTAACGCAGCTGGTCGATGATGGATAAAATTGGCTGATCTGACTTTTGATTCACACCATCATTTGTTTCCGAAGCAAGCGATTCTTTCAGGTTCGAAGGTGATCTTTGACTGCAGACTTTCTGAGGTGTCGGTACAGGTGTTCCGTTTACTGATGTAAAGTGTCCTCTGTAGTACTTGAGAAGACGTTCTTTCAGGCTGGCTTTCGATCCGTCTTGTGCTAGTGCAAATTCTTAGGAATCAGAAATTCTTCTTGCCCTTTTTCTGCCATTTTTGTATTCGCCTTTCAGCCAGCGTATTAAACTCCACAAAATAGATGACCTCTCTCTGCTACCAATGTACAGGCCCAGTAAAACGACGAGCACTTGCAGAATTTGACATAGCAATTTAATCTGGTAGTATTACAAGACTTGTAATCCGACTCTTCAAACAGAAAAACACACATGCAACAAAAACTCACACCCACACCCTCTTGCACATAATTTAAATGTTCTACAGTCTCTTAGGACTTCTGATTGCACGCCCATAACGTGTCCTGTATTTGTCATCTTTGTCGGTTTCTACAACAACAAACCCTCTGGCTGTCAACGCTGTTCCTGGCATTTCCCACACAACTGCCGCTACCATGGCTCAGGCAACCACATCCAGTTCAACTGCCCTGGTCCCAAACAATCCAAAAGCAGCAACAGACCATCCAGCAGCGATCACAGCAAGAAATAAGGTGGAGCAGCACCAGCTGGACTGCAACCCTACAGCATCTGCCTGCTTAATGTAGATAAATTAGTGCTTGAATTAGTTAATCATCCTAACAGCTCTTTTGTTCACGACTTAATAAATGCCCTCTGGTAAGGTACCCCCATTGGTGACCTTCGCTGCCACAAAACACAGGTGCCGCATAATTTTATATCAGTCTGCGAATATCTGAACGTCGTTTCTGGGAACCTAAATAAGGAAATGCAGTTGGGAAGAATTCCAGGTCTCTTTCCCTCCTCCCTGCTACCTAACTTGCAGTGTCACCCTATAGGCATAGTCCCTAAGATTAAAAAAGCACTCTGAGGGAGATAGCATAAACAACCACATCCCAAAGGATCCTTTTTCACTGCAGTATGTTTGTGTCGTTGACCTGACCACGATACTGCGGTCTTTGGGCCCTGGGAGGTTTATGGCCAAAACGGACTGGAAATCTCCTTTTCGCCTTTAGTATGCCAATCCTCCCCCAAGACTGGAACCTTTTGGGCATCTACTAGCAATGTCAGTACTACATAGACCTTTACCTTCCATTTGGGCTTCGCAGTGCCCCTTTCCTTTTTAACTGAATTTCTGATGCTTTGGAGTGGATATTAATATTTTAAGCACAACTATGGCCTCTGTCATGTTATTCACATTTTAGACGATTTCTTCATAGCAGAACATACAAAAATTGACTGCCTAGGACATATTACTACCCTTCTCAAGGTGTCCCTTCGGGTTCCCACCGTCACTTCTAAGACCATAGGGCCCTCACAAGTCTTAGAGTTCATGGGCACTGTAGTAGACACTAACCGTATGGAAGCACGATCGCATCAGAACAAGCTTGACAGGATACAGCAATTATTGGACCCTTTTACTAACCGCTGTTTTGCCCGCCTTGAACATCTCCAACCCCTTATTGGTACTCTGCAATTCGCCTGCAAAGTAGTAGTCTCAGGCAGAACCTCCCTTCAGCGCATAATAAACCTCACCCAGGGTGTAAAGAATCGTTTTCTTTATATCCGTCTGAACAAGGAATTATCCAGGGATATTCAAATGTGGAAAGTATTTCTCCCTCTACAGAACAGGCGATCTTTTTTCCTCGATTCCTGGGTCACCTCTTCTCCCAACCTGTAGCTATACAGTGGTGCAGCTTGTAAAATTGAGTTTGGAGGCTTTTTCAAAGGTTAATACTTCCAGGGTAGGTGGCCTCCTCATTTACTCATTAACAAGACCAAAAGGATAAGTATTGAATGGCAAGAACTCTTCCCTATTGTTCTTCACTGCCCAATGTAGTAACCCCACTTTTACAGCAAACGTTCTCAATTCTGGTATCACAATGAGAGTGTTGTTGCTATCATTAATTCATATCATTTCAAAGCCGCTAGGGTCGTGGATCTGGTTCATTTCTTTGTACTCATTTTCATGTTCATGTTCCCAGGGCAAAGGGCGAACAATGAAATAGCTGATGCCCTGTCCCTTTTTCAGGTTCAATGATTCAGGGAACTCGCTCCCAGTACTAACCAGACCCCCTGCACCATCCCGCCTTCCTTCACGACCCTCTGAAAGATGAAGTCCTAAATGCCAACTGGGCCTTGTTGTGGAACACAAACTGCACCCTTGGGAGAAGCCTATTTGGCCCATACAGTTCGCCATGGTACAAGACTTATTTAGCAGCCGTTCGCAATCTCCACATGATTTCTGGCTACGTAGACCCCTCAAGGGGTTGGCTTCTCCTAAAAAGATTTAAGGGGAATTCTCCATTATCAAGTCTTTGTATCTGGAGAACACCAGTCACTCCGGGTGTACTATTAGCCCTTCACCCCATCTTATGTAGTTGGCTGGGGCCAAGGGATTTCTCCATGATATGGGCTGCCTTTGCCCTTACCTTTCTCACCTTACTTGGTGTAGTGAGTTTACCTAAGTTTAGCGAGTTTATCTAAGTTTTTCTAAGTTTAATCTTAGCAAAGAATGTGTTACTTTTTGTCCCAGTCTGGCCTGTCCACAGTTCTTGCCTGTTACCCTTAAGTCTTCAAAAATGGACAATTTTAGGGCAGGGCAATCACTCATAGTTGCCCATTGTCCTTCCTTGTTGTGCCCTGTCTCAGCAAGGCAACAGTTTTTTCTCCAAGTAAAACCCTGTTTGGGACCATTGTTTTATTTTTGGTCAGGTTGTTACCTCACCCGCACCTGTCATGCACTTACTTTGGGATTCAACAAGAAGCCTGGGCCTCCCGCCCAAGAGCCTCATGAGTCACAGCTTTTGAATAGGGCGGCATCTGCTGCCGCAGCTGTGACCATGCCAGACTGGTTAATTAAGGTGTTAGTTCACTGGTTGTCAGATTGAAATAATTATGCACTCCAGAATCAGTGTTACTTTCTGCCACTTCAAAAATGGCTAGCATCTTGGGAAATTTTCTTTAGTTTTTATCTTCCTTGGGGGGATGCATGCTTTGCATGCATCTGTGGTGGTTAAGTCTGTGTAGTGACTTTCCTTAAGCTTTGGCATTGCTTGTGTCTTGCCATCTTATACCCTGTCCTTTATCTTGTCCGATCGCACCTGTGCTGTGCTGGGGAGATATTAAAGGCTCTGCCAATACTCTTGTTCTATTCCCATGTAAGTGGGAGAATAAGTGAATCTTTTATTCTGTGTGCCTATCATGAAGTTGGATCAAACCTGCCACAGGGCTGTGTCTCCCTCAATTACGCCATATTGTTGTTTGCATATTTTGTTGTTGTTACCTTTTACCTGGTCGCATAACATTCTACACTTGGTTTGAATAGTGGAATAGTGACATTAACCACCTTTTCCAAAATAGGGACACAAACTTGTGCTATGGTGTGAATTGCACTGAATGAGAAAGTGATTGTGTTAATAAAAACCATCTTCCTTGCAAGGACAAACAATAAATTTTCATGCAAATCAACTACAGAGGAAATCCAATTTTACAATGTGGCAAGGGGACAGCAAAATCATATTGTTAAATCAAGATACTGTTGTAAAAAAACTCCCAATTTAATCATTTTGCTGCAAAGCAACTAGTAATATTGTTATATCAGGAGATATTGTATGGTCTTAATTTTTCCAAGTGCAATCAATAAAATCAATGAGTTTCATACTGTATGATACTTGTACCTGTACTGTTGACAAAAACACTAGTCTCATGCCCTACGGGACAAAGGATTTCTGTAATAAAATATAACTTTGTCCAATTGCTAGGTGATTGTCACTCTTTTACGGTATGTGATGTTAATTACATCGTTGTAACAGGAAAAACTTAATGCCTGGGTTGCTAAATTTCCATCGTTTTACCGAGAATATCATTAAACTGGATATTATTAAATCAGAATTCAGCTCCATACAATTTACTGTAACTTTTGCTGGGACACAGAGATGTTGATCATTAAATCGGGAATACCTTAAATCAACGATCGTAAAATCGGGGTTCCACTGTATGTCATTGTGACATCACATGGTGATCACATGACCTTCTTTTATGTTGTTCGTGATTTGTAATTTGAGAATGTCACAGAAACAAAGTTTGGTTCAAATTCCTTAAATAAGAGTGTTTCTATGGAGTGAGCCTCACAACCCAGCCAAAGACAAGCCTTGACACATTTAGTTGAAACACATGCAAATCTTTCAAATTTTGATCACAGCAACTGGTAACAACTTGTCAGCATAGCCTTTCCCTCTTTCAATGTTGGAAAATGGCAAAATGCATTTGTGTCCATTCAAAGCATTTTGTTAACATTGCACAGGGGTGGTGAGGGACAAAATTTAAGAAAACTGAAAGTTTTCCACACATATGATGAGGCTTGTAGGATAAAAAAAGAGTAAGTTACAAAAATTCATTTAATGTATATAAATGAATGTCTGGATTTATGAAAAAGACGTCAAAATTGGTGCAAAATGTTTTTGCCTGACTGCCAGCAGTAGCTGACAGTCAGGCCATTGTGGCGCTTCAAAACTCAGGGAAGGCTACCATCAAGCAGGGCTCAATGTGACAGAGAGCCCAGGATGCTGGCTGCCAGCTGGTACCAAACTGGGCCCCAAAGACCTTAACCAAGGGGGTGGGTTGGGTCACAGAGGGAGACATTCTTGGCTGAAAAACTGGCCATTTTCTTTCCAGGACAACGATGGCCAACCATACTCTGCAGCCTTAGGAACCGCCAGCCAGCTGGACAGCTACACACAAGCAAGGTGGTTGACTAGGCCAAGCAGCGACAGACGGTCTGTGATTGATTGATTGAAAAAGCCTGTGTATTTCCTGGAAAAGTAGCAGGCTTGTTGTGTGGAAGTTGACAGTTTTCATATATCCAGACAGATATAATTTATATAATTATGTAATAACACGATAGAATACCTGCCCTTGATGTCACAATTTAAGGGTGACCATGCAACTTTATGAAAACCAGTACAACTAAGCAGAGAGCTGTTGACATTAGGATCCAAACGCCACTGTAAGGATTCAAAATTGGTGATTTCTTTCGTATCAACACCAACATCCAATACTAAAGGCTTTTTACAAGCAGGGATACTAGTCCTTTCCACATTGACACCAAACTTTGAAGAAGATGATATAGGTGTCTTTTGTGATTTGTTAAGGATACAAACTGCAGACTGTACAGATGTAAAAAAACTGATGAAAAGCACCAGACCTGCAGTACATATACATGTATGAGGGAACAAGTGTGTTTATCCATGAATTAACAGACTTTTTAATAAGTATTTATCAGAAGAAAAACGATTTATAATTATATCAATAGAGACAATAATAATAATAATAATAATAATAATGTAATATGCACCAAGCATTACAAAACATAAGTGATAAAAACTAAAATACAAAAGGCTAGATGAGACAATAGGACAAAATATTACTTGACCTTAAAAGAAATTCACCAATAAGCATTTGAGCAAACCAAATGAATGAAAAAAAACAACCCAAGGAAATCTCCACAAATACCATAGGTAAATGACCAGTAAAATCCTGTTTGGTTTTAAAGCATAAAATTCTCGATGAAAAGGTGGCCAAATGTAAGAAATGTTGATGAAACTCCATTTAAGATTGATAATCATATAAGATAAAGCCAAGAAATGCATCAAGAAGCAGAAAAACATCCCAAGTTTCAAAGACATAAAGTTCTGCATCCATCATGTTCAAGTTAATTTAATTCACACTAAAGCATAAAATGTACACATGACAGTCAAACCTCCCATAAGCCTAGGTGATTGCTTATGGGAGGTGGTCGCTTATTACAACATATTGGGTCAAAAATTTGCCTCATTAGCATATGGTAACTGCAGAGACATAACCCAAGTTTTGATTTTCTATTCAAGTGAAAAGTCAATTTTGAGGAAAAATCCGGCACTTGGCATTGAGAAATTTTAATCTTTCTTGTACTATTCAGAAATGATGTTACAATATCTTATTATCCAATTTCTGCTCTATTATCTGCCAAATGGTTGCTTATGAAAGGTTAAAATCAATAGAAAATTTCAATATTTTAGCTCTAAAAGTGGTCACGGTTGCTTACAAGAGGTGGTCGCTTATGAGAGGTTCCAAATATAGTGATTTGACTTGGAAACTTTTGGTATTTTGGAAAACTGGTTGCTGAGGAGAGGTGGTCACTTACAAGAAGTGGTTGCAACCGGATGTTCAACTGAGTGTATTATTTTTGCCAACATCTTGCAGTCATGATAAAGTGCCACTATGATCAAATTTTTACCCTGTGAAATTTTTGGAGTATCACAGAGAATTCTGCAAAGAATAAAAATAGTGTTTTCCATTAGCAAATGTCTTTCATTAGTTCCAGAAATATTTAAGTTTGAAAAATGTGTAAAACATTAAGCTATAAAAAAATTTGATAAGACATTTTTTAGAACAATCTAAAAAGGTCAAAAAGCTCAAAAGCTAGACAATGTTTCGAAGTTTTCACATCACCTTATCAAGTCAAAATGTTAAGAAATTACAAATCTTAAAATACTAATAAGAACAATGGCAAAGAAAATGCTACTAGTTAAACAAAACGTTTTGTGCATATAGAGTCCGTCTGAGCATTCAAAGTAGGGTTGAGTTTCTTGATGCAAAGCATTTTGAATGATAAACAATTGAATTTGCTCCAGATGACACTTCCTCAGTACGTGGTCACTGCTATGAGCTTGAAGAAAATGTTTCCTAATTGCCGAGTATTCGTGTCCAGCAACGCGTTGAAAAAGGTGGCGGGCTGTATAGCTCACATAATCTGCACCCTACAGATCACATGAAAAATGGTACAAAAAAAGGCATTGCTGATTAATAATAGACGGCTTAACTTCTCTAGGTAAGGTCATTTTCTAATTTCCTGCTCATAAAAACAGGTTGTAATGTAGGGCCAATCTTATGGCTAGGGTTGTGAAATTGCCTGTGAACTGCATGGGCAGCTACTTCATCCTTAAAAGGAAGACTAATTCTGATCTTACAACTGCTTTCAGTTTTCTCTTCTACTACCCATTCTGATACATTACGAAGAAAATTACTAATGATGGAATCTATGAGAACCCTGGGATAGTCTAAGTGACTGAAAATAGAGTGAAATTTATCACATTCTAAATTGAAAGCTTCTGCTGTGGAAGATACAGCATAAGCATGATTTAACATATGCAAAAATATGCAAATTAGAGGCCTAATGAAGTCATCCACTCAACCCAATATTATATGAGGTAAAAATAGAGCTAAATGGGTCAATTTGCAGCAGAGACCATTTAGACTTGGAAGACTAATAGTCCTACAAGCAACACACTTATCAGAGCTTGACATTGCGACTGCTGGGGTCGCCTATGCAACCAAATTTTTTCACTGGCAACTAACTTTTCATGCTTTTCACTGAAATATTTTTGCTGGCAACTAAATCCATAAACTTAGGGGCCAGCTGGCCTCAAGGTTTTATCCTGAAAGTCAAACCCTGCTTATGGGTATGAAAATGTCAGTTCCTGTGGCCACTAACTGTTTTCCAGTCCCTTCCAACCTAGTCTAAATATTTTAGTGATTTTTAACCTGAAAAAATTAAACCAAGCTAAGAACTTGACCTAATACATTTACGTGCTTGCTGAATCATGCAGACAATGATGCATCATTGGCAAATATCAAAATGGAATGCAAAAGATGGTAATCATAGTTGGAGCCAAAATTTTAAAAAAAATCTGAGGCAAATTTTGAGCTATTTTTGAAATAAGCAAAATTTCACATTTTATTAGTGCAAAAATTGTGCTCTTATAGCTTATCAAAACTGTGGTAAGCCACCTTAAAACAGCAAATTTTTGTTTGGTTAGGTTGAATATTAAAGCGATATAAATATATTAAGTCTGCTGAGGAAGGGTATCTGTGACTGGCCGATATTTGCCAAGATCAAATATGTTCTCTCAGTCAAGTCTGTGATCAAATTTAATAGTGACCAAGGGCGCGTAAGTACACAACTGTTTAATTAGAATCTCAGAGGAAATTGGGTTAGCTGAATGAGTACATAATCAACTAAGAAAACTCAGATGTTACAGCTAATTAAGCAGAACAAAGCCACGCAGTTCAGTTCAGTATTGGGTAGACTTGTCACGAGTCGACCTTTTCTTAATCTGTGACTTGCGAGGGCGAGCGACGTAAATCGCAAGAGTTCGACTTGTTTCACTTGCAGGGATGTGAATCAAAGCATAAATTTTTAGTGCGAAAAACACGATTGACATTTCTCACTTTTCATGTGCTCCGCACGCGATCGTCGCAAAAGCAGAAAATGATTTCCATCAAAATGTTTACAAGTACTGTTCCCTAACTCAAATGAATTTAATTGAGTACAGTGCAGTGCAAATGTCAAAAACTGTTCCATTGAGTAACACCTTCTGAAAAGACAAAACCGTGTTAAAACCGATTGAGAAATATTTGTTTTCGTCTAGATTAACCAGCGATCGACCAAAAAGCTGCCTGACAAATGCTATAAACTTCTGTAGATTTAGCTTGTACCGACAAGAATCCAAATAACTAAAGAAGACAGCATTGGTTGGGGAGAACTTTAATTCTGCAAAGCTCTCTTGATTAATATTAATAACATTGAGAATCGAAGTTGCAACGAACGAAAGAGAATAAAAGCACTGTTCCCAAAAGTCCTTCATCGATTGACGACTGCTTTCAACACGGTAACATGGCCGAAGCAAATTTACTGTGATGCCCTTTCTTTGTAGAGAAACTTGGTCATTCATTAAACCAAGTGCAACAATTACACAAACTGCAGGAACGGCTCTGTTCTTCTTTGAAGGGTCCAAACTTAAGGTTACTTCAAACCTTCGCAGGAGTCCTCCAGAAAAAAATTCATACGCACGCTGTTTTCAAGGAAACCCCCACAAACTATATATCAACAGAAAGGTTATAAAATGAAGAATTCGATAAAATGATGCTTTGTTTTGGATTTTGCTTTCCAAAGGCAGCAGAGGCCGCCAACTCCAAAATGACTGACTGACGTTCCAGTGAATTAATCAGGTATCAAATGCGATCGTTAAAGCAAAATAACTGTGCAGTGTTAATCACAAAGCCTCAATCTCCACAAACATGTCAGCATTTTCTTTTATTTCTATTGGTTATCGTTTTATAGATCTGTCAAGTTCGACTATTGAAAAATTCGAGTAACCTGTTACGTTAAAGGCCGCCACAAGGAAAGTATTTAAAATAAAGGAATTCGCCGACACGCTTTTGTTCCATATCTATCAGTGAATGTTCTGACCAAATTTCATGGAAAACCATCAAATCTGCATACCCTATTAATTCATTTAAAGAGAAGAGATTCTGTCAAAAAACTAGTGCGAGTTTTCACCTTCTAGAGATTTATATACATATCACGCCTTATCAGAGGAAAGCGTTAACTTGAAAGCTGCGAGCCAATGAAATAACAGAACCCCTAGCGTTCACAGTATGGAAACTTGTGCTTTGCGGACATTAATTTTCTTGACCAAAAAAAAGCGACCAATATAGCCCCGCAAAGGTTTGAAGTAACCTTAAGACATATACCGCTCAAAGTTCAAGCAATAAGTTGCAAAAATTATTTACTAAAAATGTACTCATAGCTCGGTAACTTTTGGAATACTATTTAAAACAACTCACTCACTTTAGTTAATTTCTCTAAGTGATCCTGCAATTAAATTCTCAAGCATTCTCAAGAAAGTTAATGTCAAACCTCGTAAGAAGACTTAAAGCGTATGTTATTGTGTTTTTAATGAATGCAAAACATCTGTTTTAAATGAAATATGGATAACTTCAAGTTCAATTTTCTCTTGCGGGGTCAGCATGCTGCAAGTGGGAGCAGTCCTTTCCAACAACGAAACCAACAGGCCAGGGAAGAATTAGTGGAAAGGACTTTTAGAAAGTCTAACTATCGGGGTCAACAGCTTCAATACTTTTTAAGACTGACTTGCATGACAGCAGATTCGTTCCTTGCTTCAATAACACACTCCTCTGGGACCCCTTTCAGCACTTCACTACCAGGCCAGTGACTATGCAGCTGTTGTAACCAATGTGGACCTTTCCACCACAGCTTGCAGTCTTTGAGTTTAGACGCAGGAATTCCCCT